AATAAATAATAATAAATAATAATTTATTAAATGGACTAAAATTATTATGAAGTGATATAATTTTTGTTAAAATGAAAATTTTTTTTTTTTAATAACAATATGTGAATATTCATAAAATGTAGTTCAGCGAACTGATATTTTTATTTAAAAATGTGTTTGGCGAGAACACGAGCTGTTTTTAAATACAGGAAATACTATTAGTGTTGAATAAACATTATATACATTAAAAGCAAATTCACTCACGATAATTAAAGGTGTGTTTTAAAATTTATGTCCTCGTTCCTAAACAAGTTTATAACAACTTTTTGCTTTTAAAATATTGTGAAATTGCTAATTTAGAACCGAATTCATTATATACCGCTAGATTATATATATATATGCGTGTATATATATATATATATATTGTTTGTCTCTGACCTTGCATTTAACAGCAGTAAAAAAGTCAATGAAACGAAAAATTATTTCAAACTTTGTGTGGTACTTAATGAAAAAATTATGATTTAAAAGTTTCGTTAAAATGGAAAAACAACATAAAAAATGGATAAATAAAAAAATATAGTTTAAAAAAGTTAATAAAACAAAATTTTCAAAAAATAAAAATTATTTAATTTAAAGTTAAAAATTGTTACATAAATATTCTAAATTGATAAATATAAATGTTAAATGAATTATTTCAATAGAGATATATGTGATTAACATTAAGAAACTTTTACAATAATAAAAAGAAAAAATGTTAATTTAATATGAAATTATTTTTTATTAAAGAAGACTCGATAATGAAGGAAAAAAAAAATTAAATGAGTTTTGATAAAATTTTAGCATATATATATATACTCAACAAAAGCAAGTATATAAACTGTTATGATAAGACATTATGATAATAGAATATTTTACATTTCTGTTCATTATATACTTATAATAAATATTTTCAAATAAAAAAAATTTATTTTTGAATTAATATTAAATAATAATTTAATTTCATATATTTAATATTAATATAATTATAATTAAAAATTTAAATATGTATTGTTAATAATAATATTAATAATATTTATTATAATTGAGCCAATTAGCCAATTGCACTTGTTATTAAAGACAGAGAGACAGAGAAAGAATAAAAGTTTAGAAGAGGGACTTTAAGATTCCTTTAATAAAACAGAAGCTAATCTCATTTTGAACTTGAAGAAAAATATTTAATTAAATTTTTGAAAAAATATTTTCTTTAATCATATATATAAAATTTAAATTATTTCCAAATATAAAAAAATAATTATTCTATTAATTTTATGTTATTCTTTATTATTTAATTATATAAAATTAATTAACGTAATTATATCAATAAATAAGCGGGTGTTAAAAGAAAATAAAAACACAGGTGAATATATTTGTGTAATACAGTGAATTTTATTTTTCCTTCTATTTCATTCAAAAAATAAAATTATTTGTAAAAAAGATTTCTTCGCTCTGTAGATATATAATATATAACATATATATAATATATATAATGTATGTATATAATAATATTATTACAATATAATAGCAATATTTATTTACTTTCATTATTTATATATAGGGTTATGTAACTCTATATATTGTTGTTTTTTAATTATCATCTCTCGTAGTCAACTCCAAACGCACCTAAACACTAATGGGGTTTCCGCTTACAAGCTAAATCACATGTGGTTTTTTTTTTTTTTTTTTTCATTTTCTTTTTTTACTTTCATACGTTTGTGCAACCGCCTCCTTCGTATCTTCTACGTATGATGTTTATCGCATCGGTAAATCGTCAATTTTTTTTTTTCATTTACAAAAAAAAATTTTCAACTGCGCTTTTACCATATATTTTACTAGTCGCCATAAAAAACAAAAAAAAATTTTATAAAACAATTTCTTTTTTTTTCATACAAAATTTCTCAATGAGAGAAACAAAAGGACGTTTTTTTTTGAGTTTAGAACTCACGGCGCATTTTTTTTTTTTTTAAAAAGGCACACTAATTTAATAGCGCCAAAAAGGTAAAAAATGTTTAATCTCAGTAACAACGGCACAAAATGGCAAACATTTTAATGATTGCTTTCACAAACGCACTTTTTTTTTCTTCTTTTTTTTATATAAATATATATATATATATATATATTTATCGAACAGTCTCCAAGAGGTTGCAATAATAATTAATTAAAAATTAATTTTTAATTGATAAACAAAAAATTTGTTAATATTATAAGAGATCAAAAAATTGTGCGTTGCTAATAAAAAAAAAAAAAATGCAACTTTAAAATTTCGTCCATTTTTGGAGACTTGTCACGAATTTTCCTCAAGTTCTTAAATATTTAATCGAAATTTTTAAATTATTTCAATTTTTAATATTGACTATATATTATTTAATTTATTTTTTTATTTTTGATTAAATTTTTTTTGCGCAAAAAAAATTAATTTTAAGAGCATGAGGAAAAAAAAATATATATATATATATGTACAATGTCACCTATATAAAGATATATAGATATAATTCTCCCAAGAAACTAGGCGATGTTTCAAGTATACTAATTAACAAATCTTAAATGGAAATTTCGCCTTGATTATCTTGCTCAATCTTGTAATCTCAAAATCTCAAAATAAATTATCGTATTTTCTATTCATTTATTATACATTATATGTATACTTGGAAAAACGTACAAAAGAACTTTTTTTTTTTTTGCTTGTTGTTTTACAAAATAAATATACATTATTTTATAATAATTAATAATAAAAAAAAAAATGAATCAATTTAAAATAATGAAAATTGTGAGCATTCTTTTTTTTTCGTTCGCCAAGAGAGCACAAAAATTATATATATAAAAAAATGCGAGTTGAACGCCAGCAGAAAAATAAATTCGCAATTTCACATTATATATGACATGCCTGGTTTTACCATTTCAACATGATTTCAACAAAATACTAAACAATTTTTAATACCCTTCATCTTTGGCTTTCAACTACAGAAAAGCATAATAATAATTATAATTATAATAATAATAATATTAATAATAATAATAATAATGCATTCAACAAGACAAGGCTTTAACGTTCCCTGCTGTACGTTAAGAACTCTCGCGATAAACGATAAAATTCCAAGTAAACCGTTGAAAATTAACGCGAGATTGAATTCTTAGAAATTGTAGATAACAAAATTGGAATCGTCAAACTGTGTATATGTGTGTGTGTCTGTTCTATATATGCGTACTTAATTCCTCTTATCTTGTGTTTGTGTTTTACGATAACACATTATTTGGGAAATGCCAAAAAAATATTGATTTTTTTTTCTTAATTTCAAAAAAAAATTCAAAATGAAAAAATAATTTTTTTTTTTTAAACTAGAATCTAAGCTCTGTCTTTACATCTGATGATTCGTGAGCGTGTATATTTCTGTCTGTTACGCATTTAGAATCCACGAATGTTTTCATCATTGAGGAATCGACCTGGAAAAGCCATCACACACACATACACATTTTTTCTTTCTATTCGTAAAAAAAACTTTAACGAAAAAAAAATTGCACAATAGTAAAAAAATATTCTTGATTCCATCCAGATGGTCAAAAAAAAGAAAAAATCGCATATCATTTTGCGATTATTTTGCAAAATAACAAAATATATATTTATATTATCAAAAAAAAATTATGTAACACCTGTGACTTTTCAGAAGTCAGACGTTCTAAAATTAAAAAAAAAAATTCAAATGCTTTTTTTCTTCTCTTAAAAAAAAGAAATTCTATTTTTTTTTTGCTAAACGATTTTTTTTCATTAATTATGCAATTTTTTTAATACACTGGAAAAAATGTGTCATAAAAATTTTGTAATTTATTTTATAATTAAATCAAAATTTTTTTTTTTTTGCATATTACAAAAAGAAAGTTGCAAATTGCAAGTTTTAGTTGCAAACTAATATATGTTAATAAAATAAAATTATATAACTGTAAAATAGTTGATAACAAAAATTGTTACGCATTTTAATAACTTATTGGTAATGACTTATTAGTTATTAAAATACACTAAGTGCACTATTATAAATAACTATTTTAATTTTATAGATAAATTTACAATTTTTCCAAATAATTTATTACCATTCGTTAATAAAAAAAAAAAAAAATTTAGTGCAAAGTTAAAGAAAATTCAAAAATTATTTTCTGTAATATATATTTTATAGGAAAAATTTTAACTAACCATTTTTTCAAGTGTAATAAATTCTTTTTTTTTTTTTCCTTAAAAATAATTTAATTCTCTCAAAAAAAAAAATTGGAAAAATTTGCAAAGATTTTTTTTTACTGTAAAATTTCATTGCACACACTTGTGGAAATCGTATTTATATAATATATGAAAATTGTTTATATTATTCTTTAGTTATTTACACGTATAAATGAATTTCATATATCTATAACAGCAAAAAAAAAAAATAATAATAATAATAATCGAGAAACTTGTAAACTAAAATATATTAAATTTTAGTCAAGTTTTTAGACATATTTTATCTATTTTAGATCACTTTTTTTTATATATAGTAAAAAAAACCTTTATATTATATATTATTGTATACTTGAAAGCTTCTGAACATTTAACAGAACGAAATTTCATTTTAAAAAAAATAAGTTTCGTGTGAATTTAATTTTTTCCAAAATAACACGTTTTTAAGTTTATATATTTTTTATATATATATAAATAATTTATAAGAATATTCTATACCTGAATCAATAATATTTTTGTTAAAATAATTTTTATGAAAAATAATTATATTATTGTCATTAGAATAATTATAATCGCACCATTTATACTTTCAATTATTTAAAAAGTAATTTACTATACTAGTAATTATTAAAAAAAATTTCGTTTTTAATGTTCAAAAAAACCTTTAAGAACACTTTGAAATAAACAAGCGCCGTTTATATTTATATATTTGTTTTCAGAATTTAAAAAATATGTTTCATATTATTTAATAAATAAATTTAGTAAATAAATTTAGTAAATAAATTTGTCCACTAATTTTTTTTTTAGTAAATAAATTCATTATTTATTTACTTAATAAGTAAATAAAATTTTGCTAAATAAATAAATGTTAAATAATTTTATTTAACATATTTTTGATTCTGAAAACCTTAACCATACAAAATGAGATAGATTTTGCAGTACTAGGGGGTTTTTTTTTTTTTAGTAAAAGTTAATAAAAAAAATAATTTGCAATATTGGAAAACACGATTTTTTTTTTTTGCAAGTACTGTATATATCTACCTTATTTTTCGCCTTATTTACAAAATTGCCAATACACGATAAAAAAATCCAATGTTTTTTTTTTTGTATTTGCTGCCTAATTTGGAAAATAAATTTTTTTGCACACTGAAAAATAGATTGGTTTTTTTTTTGACGAATTTAATTTTAAAAAAGGCAGTTTAAAAAATGTTTTTTACGATTTTAATGTAAAAAAAATTGAATTTTTTTACCCCGTATAATTAGATCCACGCACGATCAATTAAGTTTTGATAATGTAGAAACATCATACTGGACAAGACTAGATGCACAAATGACGAAACGGGAGTTTTGCGTTGAGAATGACGGAAGAAGAAGAAGAATTTCTTCAAAAAAGTCCAACTTCCTATTTTTCGTATTACCAAAAAAAAAAAAAAATTAATATTTAATTCTGGAACGTATTCCAGAGTTTTTGCAGCACCGCACGAGTTTTAAATCTCCCACAAAACTCGTCCGTTCTCCAAAATGGCCGCCACACACACGTTTTTCTCATATTGGCCTTCGACGTCACAACGGCCACGTCTGCCACAACAAAAAAAAGTCACGTAGTCCTCATTTTTGCACTTCACTTTTTTTTTCAAATTCAATCACCAATTTGAGTACTTTTTTTTGGAAAAAACAACAAAATTTTGAATCCACTGTGTGTGTTCGAAAAATACAAATGTTTTTGAAAAATTTTGGTAAATAAAAAAATCACGAGGGGGGCAACACTTTTTCCTGGATTTTTTTTAAACAAAATTTTTTTAAAATTGTCCAGGCACATTTTGCATTATTTGACATCCAGAGTGCACGTGGTCCATGACCTGTTCCTTAAGACGACACACGTGCTCCTTAAGCCTATGTACCATTGCACTGAGTTCGGTATTTTCGCCCTTGAGCAATTTAACCTTATCCTCGAGCCTTGATATTCTTTCGAGTTTACGTCTTCGACATTTTGATGCTGCAACACGATTTCTCTGTCGTTTTCTTTCTAATTTAATTTTCTCCTGATTCTCCATATCAATTGGTGACATTGGAGGTGAACTCGTTACACTTGGCACTGTTTGTGGTTCCTCCTTGAGATGAAATAAACTTTGACTTATTGTTGTATCGGTACTTTGAACACTACCAGGTGGTTCAAGTGTAGTGTATGTTGCACCATGAATACTACCCGGTTCTTGTGAACTATCCGAATGATGTAATTCATTTAGTGCATCAACAAAACCACGAGCATAAAGTTCTTGTGCTTCGGTAACTGTTTTTGGAAATAATATTTGTGTTGTTGGCGTTGGCATTGTTGTAACAAGTCCATCTTGTTGGGCAATTATTAATTTTTCCAATTCAGGTGAACCCAATTTTAACATATTGAGATCAGGTGAACTTAGAAGTGGCGCCATATTATGTAGAGCAGGTCCCAGTGGTCCCAAACGGGGCCTTTTAACCTGGGGTCCCTGACGATGATGACCGTTTAGGTCCAGGGTGAGATTTCTCTTGAGATTCTCACGATTTGTATTATTGTCATAAATATCAGCGTCTTCATAGAAGGTCGGCTCCATCGTCAGACTACGCACCATCGAATTAATTTTGTTTTTTTTTCACTTTTAAGAGAGGGAAAAATAGTTTTTTTTACACTATTACATAATAGTTTCTGTTCTGATTGTTTTTTTTTTCAATTCGCCCCGGTGCCGATTAGAGCACGAGGCAACACACAAGCACCACGAGGTTGGCAAACTGTAACTAACTTCACTCCACTGAGAATAAAAAAAAACAACTTTTTTTGCACACCAGCTGCGCACTGTTATTTAACAGTAAATATTCCAATTTTTTGTTTTTAAATTCAAAATCTCGATTGTCAACACAAAACAATGACTCAGTTCACTATATTGTTGAGTAATTTTGAGTTTACTTTTTTTTTTTTGTTTCTCTTCCCATTTAAATCGTGCGACAATCCGCACAGCTCGAAGTCTCAACAACTTGTGAACACCCAACTAAACGTTCAGCCTTATATCTCGTGACTCAGAGTAACTAAAAATAGCACTGGCGTCATGAAAAGCTGTAACGATTGGACGACAATGGCGTCACTGGTGAAATTCGATTGGTTGGAGTTGGTTATACACGCTACTGGGAAATATGAGACGCATGCGCACAATGAAAAAGAGAGGGAGTTTAAAACATGAAACCGCGCCGGCAAACATATATATATATACACACGGGCTGACACGTACCGTCTCTTTTCACTGCTCCTTGCTTGGAAATTGACTGTCTTTTTCTACTGATGGCGAGACCGAGCGCGAACATTTAATATATATATATATATATATATATATATATATATATATATATATGCACGCGGATAATACTCAATCTCGCGAGATGTGTGAGTGTATGTAATATGTTATGTAGCACGACCCTTTTGACGCAAAAAAAAAAATTTCCAAAAAAATTAAACGATTTCAGACTTTTTTTAATAATTAATTAATTAAATAATTAATTGGAAATTTTTGTGAAATTTTTAACTAAAAATTAGTAATTTACTTTTACATGAATTAGTTAAAATTGATAAATGACTTTCTAAAAATTAATTCTTTAACTAATTTTATAAAATCATTTAAAATTTTTTTAACTAAAATCAGTAATTACATTTTTGTTATTGAGTATAGTTAAAAATGATTTTTAAAATAATTAGTAACAAAATATTTTTCATATAATTTATTTGAATTAATTTATTTTGAAAACTTGTTTACTACGCGGAAAAAAAGATTTACCTGCGGAACAGCGAAACGATTCACTATTGTAGAGAAAAGTTTTACAGTGCGATTTATTTTATTATCAATACTTTTAGTAGCAATTATTTTAGTATCAAAATACTTTTAGTAGCAATTATTTTAGTAGCGATTTATTGTAGTATCAAAATATTTTTAGTATATCAATGCTTTTAGAAGCAATACTTTTAGCAGCAATACTTTTAGTATCAAAATACTTTTAGTATCAATACTTTTAGTAGCAATCATTTTAGTATGGATTTATTTTAATATCAAAATAATTTTAGTATATCAATACTTTTAGTATCAAAATACTTTTAGTATATCAATACTTTTAGCAGCAATACTTTTAGTATCAAAATACTTTTAGTATCAATACTTTTAGTAACAATACTTTTAGTAGCAATAATTTTAGTAGCGATTTATTTTAGTATCAAAATACTTTTAGTATCAATACTTTTAGTGGCAATTATTTTAGTAGAGATTTATGTTAGTATCAAAATACTTTTAGTAGCGATTTATTGTAGTATCAAAATATTTTTAGTATATCAATGCTTTTAGAAGCAATACTTTTAGCAGCAATACTTTTAGTATCAAGATAGTTTTAGTATCAATACTTTTAGTAGCAATCATTTTAGTAGCAATTTATTTTAGTATCAAAATAATTTTAGTATATCAATACTTTTAGTATCAAAATACTTTTAGTATTAAAATACTTTTAGTATCAATACTTTTAGTAACAATACTTTTAGTAGCAATAATTTTAGTAGCGATTTATTTTAGTATCAAAATACTTTTAGTATCAATACTTTTAGTGGCAATTATTTTAGTAGAGATTTATTTTAGTATCAAAATACTTTTAGTAGCGATTTATTGTAGTATCAAAATATTTTTAGTATATCAATGCTTTTAGAAGCAATACTTTTAGCAGCAATACTTTTAGTATTAAGATAGTTTTAGTATCAATACTTTTAGTAGCAATCATTTTAGTAGCAATTTATTTTAGTATCAAAATAATTTTAGTATATTAATACTTTTAGTATCAACATACTTTTAGTATATCAATACTTTTAGCAGCAATACTTTTAGTAGCAATACTTTTAGTATCCAAATACTTTTAATATCAATACTTTTAGAAGCAATACTTTCAGTATTAATACTTTCAGTAGCAATTATTTTAGTAGCGATTTATTTTAGTATCAATACTTTTAGTAGCAATTTTTTTAGTAGCGATTTATTTTAGTATCAATACTTTTAGTGGCAATACTTTTAGTAGCAATCATTTTAGTAGCAATTTATTTTAGTATATCAATACTTTTAGTTTTATCATTAATTAATATTAATAATATTATTAATAATTATTATTATTATTATTAATATTATCATTAATTTAAATTAATTATTAATAAAACAAAGAAACAATTTTTTTTCTTTTTTTTTGTAAAAAAAAATTGATTTCTATTTATCAAAAAATGATAATTCCCAAATTCTTGGTTTTACATATATAATATATAGAACGTATATGTTCTCCTGTCAAACGTGTTTTAATATAATAACAAGTTTATCAAACAATTTGTCTCAAAAACAATGTCACGCTTCTTTTGTAATGATAAAGAGAAAAAATGGAGTTTTATTATCATAAGACGATAGATAGCATTTTTATTATTATTTTTTTTTTTTCTTTAAAGAAAGAATTTGTATAACACAAAAAATGACATAAATTTCGGATATGATTCATATATAAAACATAAACTTGTGTGTATATATGTATCGATATCGAAAAATATTTTCACCTTTTCATGTAAACATATCTGTCTTCCTCTTATGTAATCTCGCGACATTTGAAATATTTATACAGTAACGTGAAATTTTTAAATACATAATTAAATAAAAAAAAAATTGATAAATTATTTAAATTTCAGACAATGGAATTTTATGAACGATAATAATAATAATAATAATAATAATAATAATAATAAAAATAAAAACTAGTAAAAAAATTTAAAAATATTAAAAAAATATTAAAAATGAAATTAACACATTTTGTTTATATTTTTTAATTAAAAAAGTTGCAAATAGATATTAAATTTATTTAATTTTTCTAGGAATAATATATTAATAATTGAATAATTATAAATGTTAGAAAAATAGTTTTTTTTATGCTTGTTAAGTTAATTTTCCCATTTTCATCTCAAGATTCTTATTAGTTGTGACTTTTATGACAAGACCATTTGAAGTCTATTCTTATGGCCTCAATAAAATACTTTTGAGTACCTCGAAAAGAATAATAACATTCGACTCATCCGGCAACGACTAGTTTCAACGTGCATCCCCACAGAGAGGAAACAAGTCTGAACAAGAATTTCGCCATTTTACTGAATACTTATTACTTATTAACGTAGCATAATATCTTTAAATATTCTCAAAAGTACTAATTTTTAATTTATATCTGACATTTATAATAATTTTTTTTTTTTATCTTTCTCAAAAAAAACATACACGCACTTGTTTTTTTCTCAATAAAAATTTTAAACAATTTTATTAATCAATTTAAAATCATTATAGTAAATGATGATAATAAAAATAATAAATAAATAATAATTGTAAAAAAATGAAAAACAATTCGCGAATCAATTATTATAATATATTATTTTCTAAACAATTAATTGAAAAATCATGTCGATGGAAAATAACAATTATTATATATCTATGACAATGAAAAGTGTCACACCTTTCTATTATTATCGCGTCTACCAGCAAATTATATATACAAGGCATTTACATTTGACTATATTCGAATCATTAGCAAATGAAATCCTTCAATCTATTACAAATTACATGACAAATTAGATGCACACGTAATCATTAGAGTATATATTATGGCGCATTATAATCTATTATGGTATAAATCATAATGTATTCAATGAATCTCGTTAAAATATAAATTGATGGTAAAATGAACGCGAGAAAAACAAAATTCCTTCTTCCATTGTTTCGTTGCTTCTATTTATCAAAAAAATTTGCATTTCTTTCAATAAAATGCTAATAATCTCGCACAGTATATAACAAAAACAAAAAAAAAAAAAACATACAAAAATCCGGCTTTATCATTCAATTTATTGATTGAAAATTTTAATGAAAAATCGTTTTTCTTAATTATACATTTTTCGACAGTTTTTATATTAAAATACAATTTTTTTTTCTGAAACTGAAAAAAATGTGAAATCGTATTCTTTAAATTGAAAGTTAAGAAATTAAAAAGAAAAAAAAAGTATAGGATTTACGACAAATGAATACAATACTAGAAAAATGTGTTAGTGATTTCGCTTCTTTTTCACGCTTGAACGTTTCAAGGTCTAAAAATCATGGCTTTTCACTGTTCATTGTTTGCATGAATACACTATATATAGCTATATAGGAATTACCTGTACTTACCCGCAAAAGTGGCAGGTAATTTGTTTACCATTCCAAAATAGAGATTCCATCCACTATTATTATAATTATTATCCTCCATTGGTCAAAGTGATAAAAAAAAAATATAATAATTGAAATTCCATCTTTTCTTCTTTCATATTTTTGCTGACCATCAGGTAAAATGTTTGTTGCAAAAAAAAAAAAAAACGAAACCCCGAAAAGATTCCCCGCTGATCAACTATATAATAATCCCTCAGGTATATGGGAGAGAACACTTTGTATTTTTTTCAGTTTTGGCTCGTGCGGCTAAGGGTTCAATATTTCATTGTTCCATATTGAGATAAAAGAATATCTTATTTTTCTTTCCGGTACATTTTTTTATTTTCTCGGGAGAAAACTTTTCAAATGTTCAATATTGCCTCACTTTTCAAATTATATTCTACGATCATCTCACTTGATAAGAAAATGACTCACTTTGTGCAATAAGTCATTTAACTTTGTGTCAACATTTTCCTAACAGGTGTGACATTTATATATGCATATTTTCGTAGCATTTTTTTTTTATTTCATATTTATTCTTTGACAAAACACATTTTTTCTTTGCTTTTTGTAATAAATTAAAAAATCATTTATTTATAAATTCCATTGTAAAATTATTAATTAAAAATTATCAAAATTGTGGTAATTTTTAAAAATTATTTAGAATTTAATTACTAAATTTTTTAAATGAAAAAAGTTCATAAATAGGGTGAGGCAGTGTCTGTTTTTTTTTTTTCTTCTTTCATCTCTGAATTAAACAAACATAATTAATTTCCGCCCCTTACACCCTTTTGTACGCGCCATGTGTTTGCCAGTCGTATAGTTGTAAAAGGTTAAATCAATTAAACGAGCTGGGAAGGCCAAACCTTTTTGGTCTGCTTTTATATAATCAGACGAAAAAGCGATATTAACTTTTTAGAGTTTCTGTCGACATGCACACACGATTTTAATCGCCACACTAATATACACTTATAAATTATATCTCCTTTTCTAATTATTGTTCAAAATTTTTAATTTATATTAAATATTACCATTTTTTAAAATAGTTTTCAATTTTCATTAGATGTAGTTATTTAAAAAAAAAAACTAATAAATAGACAAAATATTGGTTATAATACATTACAGTTATTTATTTCATTTTTTTTTTACACATCTAAAGTGTTCACATCTAGTTTTAAAAACTTACATATAGCATACGTTATTATTACGTTGCTGACTGAGAAATAGTTCATTACAATTCTAAACTTAATAAAACTATGTGTGTGTGTGTGTCAACTATTATGTATTTTTTACCAGTCGTACTTTAACTCTTAATTGATGATAATGACTGACAACTACAAAAAAAAAAAAAACCTTAATTTAAGAATGGTACATATGTACTGATCGATTTCAAACAATCACATTTTCGATTGTGTTTACACGAGAGTCACTTATTACATTGCAAAGTACAAAAAAAAAAATTATTTTTTTTTTTTTAATAAAACGTAAAAAAAAAGAGAAAAAAAAATTATACATGTTTTTTTGAGACGTCATTTCGAAAATATACACGCTTTTGCAAAAAAATTTACTCGCAGATGCATGATGATCTTCATTCTCGAGTTAGTAAGGTCGTTGACGATCGCGATCCCTGTCTCCTCTTCTGGACAAAAGTCAAAAATTTTTTGTAGAAAACGAAAAATTTAAAAAAATTCATACAAATGCAAAATAGATATTAAAAAAACAAATAGAAAGTAAACAATAAATTAATTATTATATAATTATGAATAGAATTGAATTTACAAGTTAGAATTGGAAAAAAAGAGAATTACGTACGAGCCACCCCTCATTGGACCACCTCTGCCTCCGCGGCCACCTCCTCTATCACCTCCGCGACCTCCTCTGTCTCCTCCACGACCACCTCGATCACCACCGCGGAAACCGCCACCTCCTCCTCGTCCGCCTCTATCACCACGACCGCCGCGATCTCCACCTCTGAATCCACCACCGCGGCCTCCACCTCCTCTTCCTCCACGGCCACCACCGCCGCCGCCACCTCCTCCTCCCATTCCCTCAGGTTTTGAGCTCTTGCACAAATTGCACTGATCGCGCCAAGCAAAATTCGTATTGCCACAGTCTGGATTCGAGCACCTTGAATAAATAAATATACCAAATCAGAGAAAATTAAATTAACAATAGTAAAAAAAAATTAAATTTATATTTAATTAAATTTTATTATTTTATAAATAAATAAATTCCTTTATATTATTTTAATTACAAAATTGCTTGTAGTGTTTAATAAATTTAAATTATATATAAACTAGAATAAAATGAAAAAAAATACATACTTCCAATCGCCACCTCGTCCGCCTCCGTCACGTCTATCATCACCGCCTCCTCGGCTATCGTCACGATCGCCTCCGCGACCACCACCAAATCCACCGCCTCCACGACCTCGTCCACCACCACCACCGCGGCCACCGCCGCCACCACCACCACCACCACCTCCACGACCTCCCGACCAATTACTTTTGTGTTGAGCGATTTGTACTTTAATAGTATATCCCTTAAAATCCTTATTGTCGAACCATTCTATTGCTGATCGTGCTGCATTTTGATCATCATAAGTGACTGTGGCCTCTCCCTTTGGCTTGCCAGTATTCTTATCTTTGTACACCCAAATTTTGGGCTTACCGGTCTTTTTGTCATTCTATTAAAAAAAAAAAAAAAAACACAAATTTTAGACAATATAAATCACAAAATTATTTATTTGATAAAAGTAAAATTATTTATTTGATAAAATTAAGAATTATTTATTTGATAAAAGTAAAAATAATTTAATTAATAATAGTCAAGTAATCGATTTTATATTAGAATCAAAAATAATTAAATTAGAATTTAGAAGGAAAAATTTTTTTTTACCTTAATAAGACCAATTGCTCCAAAATGCTGGCAAATTTCTTCCTCGGATACTGTTGGGTCCATTCCAGAGACAAAAATCGTATCATCTTGAGTAACCATTCCATCACCACCGCCGCCACCTCCTCGATCACCGCCATATCCTCCTGCAATTTTTTCAGACGATTATTATCATATAATTACAAAAATTTGAGCCCTAATCAAAATAAAAAAAAAATTCATACTCGATCTTAATTTGATCGTTTAATTTAATTTTAATAATTTTTTTTTTTAATTTTTAATCTAACTGATCTTAATTCATTTGAAATTATATTAAAATAATTACTAATAACATATTTTAAATTAAAACTAAACTCTTTTTTTGTAAATTGTTTAAAATTACTTTCTCCAATCCAAAAAATTTTTTTTTCTGTCTAATTTAAATATTTCAATTGTCTAGTTTCATTCATATTATTCTCTAAATATTCAATGCTTTGTTTTTTAAAAAACACTTTTTCCCCTTTTTTTCAATTTTTTATTTGAAAAATCGATTTAAAGAAACAAAAAGAAAAATAATGTTTATTACTTATTTATCACTAAAAAAAATAGCATTTATTATTTTAAAAAAATATTTGTTTTAAAACAAATAAATTGTCTCTCTCGACAGTCCTATTTTTTTTACTCTTACTGTTTTTTCTCCATTTATTTAAAGTATAAAAAAAAATTGCGCGTTTGATAACTCAATTTCTCGGTGTCACAATAGTGTGAGTAAAAAAAAAGACTTTTTTTTTACTAATTTTATAATTAAAACTCATTTGTAGAATTGCTTAATGGTCCTGTATGTTGACAGTTCATCTATTTCAATTTCAATTACACCACTTAATTTATTTTACATTAAACCAGATAATATATTTCTCAGGAATAAACCAACTTTCTTTCTTATTTGTGTAATTTTTCCTATTACGTATATTAATAATTACCTTAGAGTACCACATTTTTTTTATATATATTTGTACCTTAATATTTCTAACCACCTTTATTAAAATTCAATTAATGGGAACCAGTCTGAATGATTCATTTCTTTTTTTTTCTAACTTATCAACCTCTCAACAGTGTTTATAATTATACTTATTTTAAACCAAACTATTAATGCACAACTTGTATATAAAATTCGTAAAAACCAGATAATTGTTGATGTTCTTTTAATCGTATTTTTGCTAATTAATTAGATTTAAGTGTCCTAATTCTCTTGATAATTATAGTTTCTTTTTTAAGGAATAAAATTTAATAATCTAGACTTAATTCTATCGTAGAGAAACACAAGGTTGCGGCTTTACATACAAAAGGGCTGCAAGATGAATTTTTCCCCTTTTATTTTCCTATTTGTTTAATTATACGACTTAAATGTTAGTTATGTTTACTTAATTAAAGAAAATTACTCTTTTTATTTGTCAATAATTTTTCTCAGTTGCCTTTTTCAAATCGACAACAATTTCCGCCACAGAGCTTCATTATTTTAGTGTCACACTTAATTTACTATTTAATTGAATTATCCTTTAATTTAACAAAAAAAAATTTTTTTAAGTACCTAAATTTTCATATTTTAACTTCAATTATGTAATACTAATAATAATTAAATATATAATTTAAAACAAAATATAATCATAATTCAAAAAAATATTGAACTAAAATTTTATGAATTTAAATGTTTGAAAGATTTCCATTTCTTTTTTGCGAAATTAAAAATGTCATTTCAACTTGAAGCGAAAACTGATGAGAACAAAAAAAAATTTAGTTTATGGACGATTACGACAACTGATGGAAGGAATTTCATCATCAGAAACCTCGCGCTTAAGTATATAAAACAAATTGAAAAAAAAATTTTTTTTCGGGGAAAAAAAAAGAATCTTAACTTAATTCCCTAGAAAAAAAAGTGTAGTTTTTTATGGCAGCCCTTTCATATAATAATACGAGTAACCGAGTATTTTAAATTTTATATGAAAATATTATTATATATTGAATATTGCGTGAATAGCACCAGACTAGTACAGACAGTCTGGTGCATTTACCTTTGTTATAACCACCACGGCCACCGCCACTGCTAAAACACAGAAGCAGAAAAACCAATGAGACGACTCATGGAACAGATAGATTGATTGATCGATGCGTGGCGATTCAAATGCTGGTCGCCACCCTTCTCTTCTTGATGTACCTACTGTCTAAATGTCTTTTAGTCACCACATTACATGTTTCTTTGTTTTTCTTTATTTACTCAATTTTTATTTTTTGACTCCTTTTTTTTTTTTCTTTTTTTTTTATTGTTGATGCGTCGTAAACCACACAGACTTTTATTTTTATTACATCCTTTCATACGTCACGTCCGTTAGTTTCGTCCAGTTTCATGCACACATACATCCAGAATTCGGAAAAAATCAAATTATCATTAAAAGAAAAATTATACTATTGTCTTGAAAAATTAATAAAATATTTAAATACAAGTACAATTATTATTAAAACTATTTTTTTTTTAAATGAGAATCTGTTTTTTCACGAAGAAAACACTCGACAGTGTACAGCACATATAATCAAGTGTATAATAAAATAGAAAAAAAAAAACCCCCCATTTACGATAAGTCTGCGACATAGCTTTTGCAAAGCGGTCAAGTGTGTAGAGTATGAAGGGGAGTATTTAAATATATAAATTGAGGGGTAGAAAAAGTCGGTAAGACATTTTTCCATGTATTTTAAAGGGAGTCGTGCACCAAAACGACAATATTGCAGAGTTTCTTGTAATTAAAATTCTGCTTTAATTTACTAATCAATAATTTGTATTCTAAAATTAAAATTGTAGATAAAAAATTCTAAAAAGAAATTTACTGCCCAATTAAACTATTTTTTAAAAAAATCGTGTAGAAAAAAAAAATTGTATTTAAAAAAAAAAATACTACCAACAGTGTGTTAATTTAATAAAACAAGTGTCAAGGATTTAAAGCAGTAATTTATAACAGACAATGGCTAATTTATGCGATCGTCAACCTGCATTTCGTATAATCCTTTCAAAAAAAAAAAAAAATATTTTTTTCACGCAACCTTTTTGCATTTTGTCGAAAAAAGGAATCGACAAACTAAACATTATTGATCCACATGATGTCAGCCATATACATTTTGAATTTTATATAGAAATTCAGTATGCGGTATTAAATGTCATTTAAACCATTCTTTTATTTTTTCGTCATTTGTCATATACAACCTGTTTCATTTTTACCTTCTTACCAGTAATATCTGTGTGTTTAAACCTGTAGACACACTTCAAATCACATTAAAAACCCAAGGGACCATATAAAAGACGATATATTCGTGAAAAATATATTTATATTAAATATATGTTTTTTTTCATTTGCATTAAATGCATTCGTTACCTTTTTTTTGTGAAAATTTTTTAAAATTATTTTTCAAGACAAGAAACACACAAATTCGCAGTTTTTTTTTTCTCTGATGCTTTTTTTTGAAAATTTGCCTTCGCATTTCTTTTTATGAAAATGAATTTTAGGGAAAAAATTAAGACAACTTACTTGTATCCGCCGCCTGAACGATCCCCATAGCTTCCTCGATCGCCACCATATCGGTTGCCACCACCACCACCACCACCTCCACCTCCTCCCTGACCTGAAAATATTTTTTGAATTTAATATTTCGCTGTGTCTATTTAGCCCGCTAGCGGGAGAAAAAAATATAAGAATTATTTAGTTTGCAGTAAGTATTTAAAATATTTTTTATTTTTCTTTTTTTTATTTATTCTAGAATAATAAAATATATTTTATTATATTAAGTGTATATTAAGTGCATTTAAAAATAAGGCTATCGTTTATTTAAATATATTAGTGTGATTTAATCCAAAATTTATTTGCTCCAAAATGAACTGTTTTGGTAGGATTGTTTATTTAAAATATATTATTTAATTTAATTAATTATTTATTTAAAGTTGTGGTAAAAAAATTTTTTTGTTTTAAACCAAAATTATTGTAAGAAAACTGTTTAGCTACAGCTAATAAATTATTAGAAAATAGTTTATGGAATTGTTTTCAATTGAAACTTTAAATATCCAAATAAAAATTATTTTTTAAAATATAATTAAAATTCTTGTATTTTATAAATACGTATGGGGCATTACACGGGAAATTTTCATTCAAAATTTTTTTTGTCCAAATCATTTTTTTTTCGAAATCTATATGAAAAATAAGAAAATACATATTTTTTAAATTTTTTATTTGATGAAAATGAAGGAAGTTCATTTTTTTGATATTTAACGTCAACAAAGGAAATGTGTTTGAAACATTTTTATAAAACTAAAGTTACCAACGTTGATTCAACGAAAAAAATAAAAGTTAAAGATTCTAATTCCCATCAAAGAAATTTATTTATTTTCAATCCTTCATAAACTATTTTCTAATAATTTATTAGAAAATAAATATACCTGTAGTTAAACAGTTTTCTTACAATAAATTTGGTTTAAACAAAAAAAAATTTTTTTACCACAACATTAAATAAATAATATATTTTAAATAAATAAGCCTACCAAAACAATTAATTTTGGAGCAAATAAACTTTGTATTAAATTACATTAATATATTTAAATAAAACGATTGCCTTATTTTTAATTGCACTTAATATAGACATTATATAATAAAATATATTTTATTATTCTACAATAAATAAAAAAAGAAAAATAAAAAATTAAAAAAATTTTTATAAACAAAACTTACTGTTACCATAACCTCCTGAACCTCCTCCTCTACTGTATCCTCCGCCACTGCCTCCACCACCTCCACTGCTGCCTCCATAACTACTACTTCCATAATTATTACTATTGTTGTTACTAGAACCTCCACTTCCAGATCCATAACTACTTTGGCCATAACTGCCTTGACTTTGCGATTGATTATAATCTTGACCACCGCTGTTACTTCCATAACTACTATTGTAATTTTGATAATTTCCACCACTTGGCGGTGGTTGACTATATTGACTGTAGTTAGTTGATGCACCGGATGGAGGTGGATAAGATGTATCCTGAGTTACTGGAGGAGGCTGACTATATTGTCCATAATTCTGCTGTTGCTGCTGATAAGCAGCATATTCTACGAAAAATGCAAAATTTTTAAAGAAAAAATATTAAAAATTATATTTTGAATTTAAAAAACTCTTTATTATTAAATTCAAAACAGAAGACTATCTATTTTTTGCACATAATATCGGTATCAATTTCATTTCAATTGTAAGCGTCTCTCTCTCTTGATGCCAAAAATAAAGAATCGGTCCTCCATATTTATCAAACATTTCTAGTTCGTGAAAAATTCGTAAAGAAATTACATTAACTTTAATATAAATAAAATATAAAACTTACGACTGTCCGTCATTATTGCGCCCTTCACTGACTCTGTTTTTATTTCGAATATTTCAATTCGATACAAAGAAAATGACAATTAAATGTTGATTTTACACGTAGACAAAATACAGACTTGAATGACAAAAATACCTCTCTGCTCGTCGATAGTCGAAACAGGAAACCTCCCTCAAAAACGGAAATATGCAGCTCCCTCTATTTCACTAGTTCGCACATTTTCCACTAGGGGGGAGGGATCAAAAAATTAATTTTTTAAATAAATTATGAACATAAATTTTATTTTTAACTTAATAATATATTTCTTTAAAATTTATTTTTATTTAAAAATTATATTAATATTCTTTCTATTATAAAAAACTAATATTCAATTTAAAAAAATAAATTTCAAGTTGTCTAGAAAAATGCGCGAATTTTAAAAATATTACCAAAAATATCTAATTATTTTTTATTTTAAATTATTTAAATAGAATATAAATAAAAAAAATTTATTCTCTTTGTTTTTATTGTAAAAATAATTAAGTGTAGAGATATTTTATTTAACTTTAAAAAAATTGATATAAATGAAATTTTTTTCTTTTTCAGGTTGGCAACACTGACTACTGACACGCTCCTTGCTACTCTCGTCCATTTTGTTTTTTCTTTCAAAGAATACAGTCAGTGATCTCGGTAGCTTAACACGTATTCGTGTCGTTAGACTCAAAAGTAAGTTATTTTTATTAAATTATTCTAAAAAATATTCTTAAATTAATAATCACTATATATCATTTGTGTTTATTTTACAATAATTATGTAAATATTTATTAAAATAATCGCCGATGTTTCTTGATGTTTTTGATGGTCTTTAACACCATGCTTGCAATTCTAAACAAATATGTATATTTTCTATAAATTTTATAACAATTTCTCTGTTTTTATATGTGAAATTCATTTTATTTGCATATTAATGAATTTTTCTTTTAGTAATTTCAATTTAAGGAAAAATTTTATAGGTTAGGAATCATGTCAATTATTACTAATTTTTATTTAAAATAGAATATTAAACATTTATTATTTGTCTCATTGTAGAATATTTTTGTATATTTGTATACTTTATTTTTATATTTAAAAAAAATACTTGTTTATTTAAAAAAAAAAGAATGTGTTGTTTTAGAGGTTAACTATGGTGTTTGTAACAGATTTTCATATACAACAATTTAGCAATCTTGAAAAATGTGATTGTTTTTATTTATGCATATGATGATTTTAAAATATCACCATCTTTCGACTGAGTCGTTGTGATGATACTCTTTATAATCTGAGTATTTTTTTGTTATTGTATAGTTTAAAAAATGATTGTTTTTTTTTAAATGAAACTAAAGGTAAATTTTATTTTCAGTTTTACAATGCGTTACGTGGCTGCTTACCTTTTGGCTGTCCTTGGCGGTAAAGCTGAACCCGCGAAAACGGACATAGAAAAGATTTTGTCATCTGTGGGTATTGAAGCCGATGATGAGAAACTCAAAAAAGTCATCGGTGAGCTCAAGGGAAAGAGCATCGAGGACCTAATTTCACAAGGTATTAAATTTATTTCATTCGTACAAATCTTATGAAATTCAATATTTTAATAATTAAATTCAAAATAAGTGATTAAACACGTAAATTTGATTATAAAAATAATATATATTTAAAAATTTGAAATAAAATTATTTTACTGGATAATTAAAAAATATGTAATATACTTTTCAGGACGTGAAAAATTGTCCTCAATGCCTGTGGGTGGTGGAGCAGCACCTGCCGCAGCTGCTGCCGGTGGAGGTGGTGCAGCTCCAGCAGAGGAGAAGAAAGGTGGGCAATTTTTTTGATTTTTAATTTCATTTTTCAAGCAGTTTATTAAATTATTTAATATTTAATGATGTTATGCAATATACCATCTTTCGCCTGAGTCGATGTGATGCTAATTTTTTATGCCTGAATACAAAAAAATGAATTATTTTATAAGAATTGAAATTTTCTTTTATTGAAAATATATTAATGTTTTCTATTTGAATTTTTTTCGAAACAGAGGAGAAGAAACCAGCCAAAGAGGAATCTGAATCCGAAGATGAGGACATGGGATTCGGTCTCTTTGATTAAGCCTAACATCCAGACTTTTATTCTCCAACAGCGGTGCAGCATCAAGGCTAGTTGTACAAATAATTTCTTCCCTTTTTTACACACCCCTGCTGAGGAATAAATCTTTTTTTTAAATCCAGCCACTTGTGATAAGTATCAAAAAAAAAAAAAAACCTTTCATCCTGCCTCTCAAACTTCCATACCAAGTTTTAATTTGGAAAATTTTATTCATTAAAATTACAACTAATTATTAAATAATAAAGAACTTATTTCGTTAGTAGGGTAATTAAAAAAAGAAATTATTGCAGAATTTAAAAGTAGAAAAAAGAAAACAGTTCAAAAAAAAGAAAATCTAAATGAAAACTAGATATAAGATGTATCGATGTCAATTGATATCGTGTTTGACAATTTGCCAAATATTTTAAATTTCTAGACGTGTCAATAAAGACAAAAAAAAACATATGATTATAATTTAAATTACAAATGAAAAATATTACATTTGATCATAATTTACTTAATTTCTATAAATTTTTTTCAAATTTATCCTAGAGGGAAAATCTCTTAAATTAATATAAAATACAAATGAAAGAGGAAAATCATTTTCTTTTCGGATTTTTTTTTTTTTTAATTAAGATTTAAAGTCACCTACAATTTATACATGAAAGCATTGGCACGTTCTCGTACGCGCCGTCGCCGTTGGCTTCATTCACGAGATTCGTTTTTAAAAGGAGTGAGTGAGAGAGAGAGACGCAAGAGGGGTTCTCGTTCGCGGCTTGTAAGGGCGCACTCACACCTCTGGCTGCCTGCACAGGCAGCCAGTGAGAGCCAATCAGAGAGTCAGTAGATTTAAATTTGAATTTTCTGTCTCTCTTACTCTTGTACGTTTTCTGCGTGGTGGGAGGCTGCCTGTGCAGGCAGCCAGAGGTGTGAGAGCGCCCTAACCTTGCGCAGCAGGTTTCTCAATTTGACCGATTTCACGTCTTTCTTCAAAATCAATTCAACGACCAAAAAAAAAAAAAGAAAATATCACACACATCACGTCATTAAATTATTACATAGTATTTTTCCTTACTATTAGGGAAAAAATTTTTATTACCGGGAAATTGTCATCCTTTAAACGAGGGACTATTTTGCAATCTATGAATAAATTGTGTGGTGGGGGACGAATAATGGCGTCCATGATGGGTGTCAGCGGCAAGCAGTGACGGTATTTGCCTTGCGTCAGTCGGTTTTTGTATGCGGATGATTGAATCGAGATTCTCGGGGTGAAAGGTGTACGAAAAAAAAAAATTGGTGTTGTTACAATTAAATAATCGCCATTTAGGCTGCGAGAAGATCCTGCCAAATTTTATTGGCTTTAGGATTCCGGTAATCTTGCAAAAGAATCATAAAAAATGACGCAGCTACTGCCCATAAGGTTTCAGGAACATCTCCAGGTAAGTGACCTGCTTTTTTCTTTGATATGTGTATTTTTATAATTAAAATCATTTGCATTCTTTTTATTTTATTGTAAATATAATTTTTCACATATGTTTTAGGTTAAAATTAATTTCTAAAGTTTAGTTAAAGACGCGTTTATGATACTCCAAAATGCCACCGACGTTACGTTGACAGCTATCGTGAGAGTCATTAATTCCTACAAGTTTCCTTTTTTTTATTGAGTGTTTCTTTCTTTTTTTTGAAAATATTAATTCATTGGGATTATTTTATGTTCTTTTTTTTTGGGGGTTAGGATTTCCCGTAATTGTGAATTGGAAATTCCTGTCAGAATTAGGGAATCGATTTTTCGCCGATAACCGATCGTCAGTGGCATGGAAGCCACGTCTGCTCCTCGACATATACGCCCCTCGCTTCCGCCTACAAAACACCGTGTCGCTTGACGTGAATCTTCAACCTGTGTTTTTTCATTTATCTTGTTATTAACCCTTTCAGGGGCATTCAATCGTATTTGTTCAAGTTATTTTTCCAATATTTCTCGTTTTTAACACTGACATTTTGCCTTTCATCCGGAAAATTCCGGTTATGTATAAAAAGAAAATTATTACTAGATGCATTTTATTTTTTATATTTCTGATTATTTTGTTAATAGAACTAGTTATTATATAAAGCTATTTTTATTTTAGTTTTTGTTTTCTTTCTTTTAATGCAAAAAAAAAAAAATGTCTTTAAAAGGTCTGATAATAGAATTATTTGTCAAATTAGATTTAATAAATCTTCTCTGACAAATTGAAACGAAGAGAAAATTATTTTTCAGAAATTTACTTCTGTGGAGTAATCAATTAAAATTTGTGTCGCTTTAATTATTGAATTTATCAGTTTGTCCTCTTCCAAAATTGTAGGAATTGATTTGAAGAGGTTAATTAGCCTCCGGGTGGAGTTCAATTCATTTAGATTTAAACCCTCTTAATAAAGTAAATTAATAAAGAATAAAAATTATTTTAAAAAAAAAAATCCAAATTATTTTATCAAAATTAAATATTAATTCAATATTTATATATTTAATTCTCACTGACAATTTTTTTTTTTTTTTTTAATGTCGAGACGTCTTTTCGTTCTAAATAAAGCTGAATAAGTACATTGAAGATTCTTCATTGTTACACTGTCTAAACAAACAGATCAGATAAAATATCAAATAGTAACTCGTTAACCGTAATTGAATATTTAATATAAAAAATAGCCTTTATTATTATTTTTATTTTTTTTATTTTACCTATGACCTTTTCCACGTATGTTAAAAATAATTATCGTTGACCAATAACAAAAATAGCTATATGTAAGGAAATGATAAGCCCTGTTACTTTTTTTTATACTGAATAAAATTATCTATAACAAAGTAACTAAAGAAAAATTTATTTTCTATTATAAAATAGTAAAAAAAAAAAAGAATTCTTCATTTTAAGCGAATCATAATTTTCTTATATTTGCTTATGTTGTAAAATATTTTATAATTGATGCAAAGATAGTAACCTTGTTGTATAAGAGAAAGGGAAATAGCTGGATAATTTTTCTTTTTTTTTTTATTCTAAAAGTCAAAGTCACACATTTTCTATTTGAAACATTAGAGTGCCTTTATCACTATATCGAAAGCTCTCCACTAATTTCCTTTGAATCAAAAAAAATGATAATGTAACTTCGTATGAATCACACTAATGTGTTTTTTTAAAAAGGGGAAAAAAAAATTGATCTATATTTTCGAACGATTTGAGGTCACGCGAAAGTAATTATTGTTGAGTTCTTAATCTTAATCTCATTTTTTTTAAACGATGAATTAAATTCAATATTTGAATATATAAAGTTTTCAATTTTTAATAAATAAATTATTTTTTCATTAATTTAAAATTTGGTCATTATATAAATGATGAGATGTTTTTCTCTAATTAAAATAATATTAATTACTATTTTTAGCTGACTGCTGTTGGGATAAATGCAAATAATGTCAGCTTCAATACTGTCACCATGGAATCTGATAAATTCATCTGTGTGCGAGAAAAAGTGGGCGATACAGCACAAGTAGTAATCATTGATATGAATGATACGGCCAACCCCATTAGAAAGCCGATCTCTGCAGATTCGGCCATCATGAATCCAGCTAGCAAAGTCATCGCTCTCAAAGGTAAATTTTTTTCATTATCTATTTAATTAACAATTTATTTTTTCTTTCAATATGCAACGAGAAAAAAATAAAAAAGACAGAAATAGTAATATTTGATTGTCTTCCATATTATCATTTAATTTGGTAAAAAAAAAAGAGTCAAAATATTTTGTAAAAAGTATTTTTAAGAGATTAGCGAAATCTATTTGGAATGATAAATAAAAGAGGAATATTTTGCGAGTGATTTCTTAACCCCTTGACTTATCTCGACACTTAGCGTTATTTCAATTGCGATTAATTTCTCTCTCAATATAATATGTATACAAGACGAGAATTCAGCTCCATTGGAGTTAAGTGATTACTGATACATTTAAGACGGATAAAAAAAGAAATCGATATTGTGTCATACAGAGAGAAAGAGAAAAAGAAAGGAAATTTGATCCGGAAAATTGTGTTTCCTCTTCTATCGCACGGAAATTGTACCACTAATCTCTTGTATTTAATAGATTTTTTTTCGAATTTGAAAATTAATTTTTTTTCGCAGCTCAAAAAACCCTGCAGATATTCAATATTGAAATGAAGTCAAAAATGAAAGCACACACAATGCCGGAGGACGTTGTCTTTTGGAAGTGGATTTCATTAAATACATTGGCATTAGTAACGGAAACAGCTGTCTTTCATTGGTCCATGGAAGGTGATTCGACGCCAAATAAAGTATTTGAACGTCATTCATCATTAAATGGATGTCAAATTATCAATTATCGAACAGACGCTAAACAAACGTGGCTTCTTTTAATTGGAATATCAGCGCAACATAGTCGTGTTGTTGGTGCAATGCAACTTTATTCAGTTGAACGTAAATGTTCACAACCAATTGAAGGTCATGCAGCATCATTTGCACAATTTAAAATGGAAGGAAATCCAGAGCCAAGTAATTTATTTTGCTTTGCTGTGAGAACAGTGCAAGGGGCTAAATTGCATATTATTGAAGTTGGTCAACCACCAACTGGTAATCATCCATTTCCAAAGAAAGCTGTTGAAGTTTTCTTTCCATCGGAAGCTGGTAATGATTTTCCCGTTGCAATGCAAGTTAGCTCTAAATATGATGTGATTTATTTGATAACAAAATATGGCTATATTCACATGTATGATATTGAATCGGCTACATGTATATTTATGAATCGAATTTCGGGTGAAACAATATTTGTCACTGCACCACATGAGGCGTCAGGTGGTATTATTGGCGTTAATCGAAAGGGACAAGTGCTATCAGTTTCTGTTGAGGAAGAAAATATCATTCCTTATATTAATGGAGTATTGCAAAATCCTGAATTGGCATTGAGAATGGCAGTGAGAAATAATTTGTCAGGCGCTGAGGATCTCTTTGTGAGGAAATTTAATATGCTCTTTCAAAATGGTCAATATGCCGAGGCAGCTAAAGTCGCTGCTAACGCTCCCAAGGGAATACTCAGAACTCCAACAACTATACAACGATTTCAACAGGTTAGTCTCGTTTAAAATTTTATTTTGTTTTGCAAAAATTAATTTTTTCTATTATTTTAGGTACCAACGACACAAGGTCAAACTTCGCCACTACTACAATATTTTGGCATTCTTTTGGATCAAGGCCAATTAAATAAATATGAATCACTTGAGCTGTGCCGTCCGGTATTGTTGCAGGGTAGAAAGCAACTTTTGGAAAAATGGCTAAAGGAAGATAAACTTGAGTGTAGCGAGGAATTGGGTGATTTAGTAAAGCAAGCGGATCCAACACTTGCGCTCAGTGTTTATTTACGTGCAAATGTACCGAATAAAGTGATTCAATGTTTCGCTGAAACGGGACAATTTCAAAAAATTGTTCTCTACGCAAAGAAAGTTTCATATACACCGGACTATATATTTTTATTAAGAAACGTTATGAGAATTAATCCCGATCAGGGAGTAGCTTTCGCCCAAATGTTAGTGCAAGATGATGAACCATTAGCTGATATTAATCAGGTAATTTTCTAATTAAATTAAATTTTGATGATATAATTTAATAATTAATTGAAATATAAAAATTGATGTGATTTTTAAATTTTTACAGATTGTAGACATATTTATGGAGCAAAATATGGTGCAACAATGTACGGCCTTTTTGTTGGACGCCTTGAAAAATAATCGTCCAAGCGAGGGTGCATTACAAACGCGTCTCCTCGAGATGAATTTAATGTCAGCGCCACAAGTGGCTGATGCAATTTTAGGAAATCAAATGTTTACTCATTATGATCGTGCTCATGTTGCACAATTGTGTGAAAAAGCTGGATTATTGCAAAGAGCACTTGAACATTATACCGATTTATATGATATTAAACGTGCTGTTGTTCATACACATTTATTATCGCCCGATTGGCTCGTTGGATTTTTTGGTACACTCTCAGTTGAGGATTCACTTGAATGTTTAAAAGCAATGCTCACTGCAAATATTCGACAAAATTTACAAATTTGCGTTCAAATTGCCACAAAATATCACGAGCAACTAACAACGAAAGCGCTTATCGGTAATTATAAAAATTTTCCTTTCATTTAGGTTTCCTTTTTTCTTTGACTTAATTTTTTTGCTCTTACAGATCTTTTTGAGAGCTTTAAATCGTACGAGGGACTATTCTATTTTCTTGGTTCTATTGTGAATTTCAGTCAAGATCAGGAAGTGCACTTTAAATATATTCAAGCTGCGTGTAAAACTGGACAAATCAAAGAAGTTGAACGTATTTGTCGTGAGAGTAATTGTTATAATGCTGAGAGAGTAAAAAATTTCCTCAAGGAAGCTAAACTCTCTGATCAGTTACCGTTGATTATCGTGTGTGATCGTTTTGATTTTGTGCACGATCTTGTGTTATATTTGTACAGAAATAATTTACAAAAATATATTGAAATTTATGTGCAAAAGGTGGGTAATTTGAAATTTCAACAAATTTTATTTATTTATTTATTTTTTATATAAAATGTTTTTTTTTTTTTGCTTTCAGGTGAATCCTTCGCGATTGCCAGTCGTTATCGGTGGTTTGTTAGATGTTGATTGTTCGGAGGACATAATAAAAAATTTGATTTTAGTTGTTCGTGGACAATTTTCCACAGATGAACTTGTGGAAGAGGTGGAAAAACGTAATCGATTGAAATTATTGCTACCGTGGCTTGAATCGCGCGTTCATGAAGGATGTGTTGAGCCAGCTACTCATAATGCTTTAGCCAAAATCTATATTGATAGCAATAATAATCCAGAAAGATTTCTTAAGTAAGTGACTTTTATATATTATTTATTATTTGTAAAATGAATGTTTTTTTTTAATTTTATTTTTAATTTGCAGAGAGAATCAATTTTACGACAGTAGAGTAGTGGGTAAATATTGTGAGAAACGCGATCCACATTTGGCTTGCATTGCTTATGAACGTGGACAATGTGATCGAGAATTAATAAGTGTTTGCAATGAGAATAGTCTTTTTAAGAGTGAGGCAAGGTATCTCGTTAGACGAAGAGATCCGGATCTTTGGGCTGAAGTTTTGCTTGAGAGCAATCCCTACAAGCGACCATTGATCGATCAGGTAATGTCGATGATCGCCTTTTTGTTTTTTTTACTAATGACCAATTGAAATTAATTTTTACTTTAATTATTTTAGGTGGTACAAACAGCTCTGTCAGAGACACAGGATCCGGAAGATATATCGGTGACAGTTAAGGCATTCATGACAGCCGATTTGCCAAATGAATTGATTGAACTTCTTGAGAAAATTGTTCTCGATAGCAGTGTTTTCAGTGATCATCGTAATTTACAAAATCTCTTGATATTGACGGCAATAAAAGCAGATCGTACACGTGTTATGGAATACATTAATCGTTTAGATAATTACGATGCACCGGATATTGCTAATATTGCTATTAATAATGAACTTTATGAGGAGGCTTTTGCTATTTTCAAAAAATTCGATGTCAATACGTCAGCTATTCAAGTATTGATTGATCAAGTCAATAATCTTGATAGAGCATATGAATTTGCAGAAAGGTAAATATTTTGTTTATTTAAATTTTTGCTCGTTAATAATTACAATTTCAAATATTTTTTTTTTTTGAATAGGTGTAACGAACCGGCTGTTTGGTCTCAATTGGCGAAGGCTCAATTGAATCAGGGTTTGGTTAAGGAATCAATTGACAGTTACATCAAGGCTGATGATCCAACTGCTTATGTTGATGTTGTGGAAACAGCACATAGAACATCACACTGGGAGGACCTTGTGCGTTATCTTCAGATGGCACGCAAGAAAACAAGAGAATCATTCATTGAAAGTGAATTGATTTATGCTTACGCTCGCACCAATCGACTTGCTGATCTTGAAGAATTTATTTCTGGACCAAATCATGCTGACATTCAAAAGGTAAATTAAAATCTCATTTTTGGAACTAAATTACTTTTTTTAAGAATTTAAAAAATTTCTTTTTTTCTAGATCGGTGATCGTTGCTTTGATGATAAAATGTACGAACCAGCAAAGTTATTGTACAACAATGTGTCGAACTTTGCCCGTCTTGCAATAACATTGGTGCATTTGAAAGAATTTCAAGGCGCTGTTGACAGTGCAAGAAAAGCGAATTCAACGCGCACTTGGAAGGAGGTTTGTTTTGCGTGCGTTGATAGTGGTGAATTTCGATTGGCACAAATGTGCGGCTTGCACATTGTTGTTCATGCCGATGAACTTGAAGATTTAATAAATTACTATCAGGATCGTGGACATTTTGAGGAGTTGATAAATCTTTTGGAAGCCGCATTGGGACTTGAAAGAGCACATATGGGAATGTTTACGGAGCTTGCAATTCTTTACAGTAAATTTAAACCACAAAGAATGAGGGAACATCTTGAATTATTTTGGTCACGCGTTAATATACCAAAAGTATTGCGCGCCGCTGAACAAGCACATTTATGGGCGGAACTTGTATTTTTATATGATAAATACGAGGAATATGATAATGCAGTATTGGCAATGATGCAACATCCAACTGAGGCATGGAGAGAGGGTCATTTTAAGGATGTTATCACCAAAGTCGCCAATGTTGAGCTTTATTATAAGGCTATACAATTTTATGTGGAATTTAAACCATTATTGTTGAATGATATTTTACTTGTTCTTGCACCACGAATGGATCATACAAGATCAGTTGCTTATTTTACGCGAATGGATCATTTACAATTGGTGAAACCATATTTGCGTTCGGTTCAAGCATTAAACAATAAAGCAATTAATGAGGCTTTAAATGGTTTATTGATTGATGAGGAGGATTATCAGGGTTTGAGAACGTCGATAGACGCATTTGATAATTTCGATAATATTGCACTTGCTCAACAACTTGAGAAGCACGAGTTGATTGAATTTAGACGAATTGCCGCCTATTTGTATAAGGGTAATAACAGATGGAAACAATCGGTGGAATTGTGTAAAAAAGACAGATTATTTAGGTGAGTATAAATAAAAAAAAAAACAAAAAAAAATGGATAAGAATTTTTTTTGATTCTTTTGATTTTATTTTGATTAGGGATGCGATGGAATATGCGGCCGAATCTCGTCAAGCTGAAGTCGCCGAGGAATTGTTGGAGTGGTTCTTGGAGAGAGGATCAAAAGATTGCTTCGCGGCGTGCCTTTTCCATTGTTATGATTTACTTCATCCGGATGTGATTTTAGAACTTGCGTGGAGACACAAAATTCTGCATTTCGCAATGCCTTACCTCATTCAAGTTGCGCGAGAATATATCTCGAAGGTAAGAATTTTATTTTATTTCAACAAATTGCTCTTTTTCGTAACTAAGTATTTTTAAAAACAAAAATTAAATGAATGAATAAAGATTAGAGTTTTATTTTTTTTAAATTCTTTTAAAGGTTGATAAATTGGAAGAAGCTGAAAACCGACGTTTAGAAGAGACTGATGATCATGAAGTTAAGCCTATGATTATGCGTAAGTATTTTTTTTTTTAGTAAAAATTTATTTAAATTATTTTAAATATAACGAAATGTAAATTAAAAATTTTATTTTAAATACATAATAATTATGAAAATAAAAAATTTGCAGCCGAACCACAATTGATGTTAACGGCAGGACCGGGAATGATGGCACCAGGCTATGCACCCGCAGGTGTATATGGAGCACCTGCCCAAGGGGTTTATGCACCCGCAGCAGCAGCGTATCAAGGTTACGGCATGTGAGAACCATTGTATAACTCATTTTCAAATACCGATCAACATTTACTTTTCTATAAGGCTTAGATCAAGAGTACCGCCCCTAGAATCTTAGACGTAAATTAAAAAAAACAAAAAAATAAACGCTGAAGAAATGTCACTACACAGCAGACATCGTTACGCTTAGACCAGTCTATGCTAATAAGAAAAAAAAAATAAAATAAATCGATATAAGACGTCGTCTCGTCATATATCAAAAAAAAATATTTATTGCAAATTTGTAGATACAAGAAAAAGAATTGAATGTCGATCATCCATGATTGAATGGCCCTGTAAAGAATTTAAAAAAACGTATTGTCGTAAAAAAAAAATTCAAATTAATAAATAAATTATTTTCCCTCTCGTGGAGAAAAATAAATTTTAAAATTCGCGTTTGCATTTAGTGTTGAGATGAAAAAAATAATAAATTTCATCCGAATGATTAGAATTATTCTCGTGTTGTATAAAAAAAAAAAAAAAAAAAAATATGATTGTGTCAGGTGTGTGTAGTTTGCTTGTGGCATGACTTCCGAAATACTCTACGTCGTCCCTCTTCCAGAAAAAGCAAAAATAATAAATAACCCAACAAAACAAAATTTGTTTCACGTAAAGAGTAATTTGAATATAAATCTTGATGTACACAAAACAAATTTTCATGCAACTCGTAACTTTTCAGGAGCTTGATCGTTAAAAGAAAAAAAAAATGAAATTCACATAATGACACGAGTCATTGAATTATAAAAAGTATTTTCTTTTTTTAAAGGAAAAAAAAAAATTCTTTAAAGGAATTAAGTTTTAGAATATTTTGAACTTATTTGTTAAACTGGCAGTTAACATCACAATCTAGCTGCTTGTCTATCTGTTATTTGTTCCGTCGTATATTTTGTTATACTTGTCCAGACGTATGTTAGATAGAATTTTCATTTAAACTGCAAGAGAAAAAAAAATATAACTTTTGAAGTCTTTTGATTTTGAGATAACTTTTTTTTTTTAATATAGAATTGTTACGTCTCTAATTTAATTAGAACACCCTTCCCCCCAGCGTGGCGTCTTTAATCAGTGTAACTAAAAATAGTTCGAGTAGTATTTTCTCTTTTTTTTTAAATAAAAATAGAAAAAGAATTTTTTAAATATTTTGTAAATGCTTTGTTTTTGGTTTCTTTTTTTTTTAAAAAAAACTGTTTAGATCGACTTTAATATATATTAAATATTGCCTTGAGAAAAAGAGAAAGAAAAGTCTTTTTTGACTATCGTGTAGTAAACTTTAGTAAAAACAAAAACATTGTTTTTCTATTAAAGCACTTTTAGGAAATGAGATTTTATTCTCGTTTCACTGCTATACAATTCATTCTATAGAATATGTGAGGGTCTTGACTATTTGGACAAAAATTCGTCCTGTAAGGAAAAAGATAGAAAAAACGACAGCAACAATTTTTTTTTTCCAAACTTAATTTCTGAGATATCACGAGTGTTTGACATTTTTCAATCCCGGTAAATACGCATATAGGTATTAGTTTTTGAAAAACAGTAAAGGTAGATGGACACGAGTGAAAGATTATGACATTCCCAAAAAAAAAAAAATCTCTAAAATTCTTGTCCTTGCACTGTATTTTCGAAATCAAATCCTTGAAAACAAAAAAAAAAACCAACATACTTGAACGAATGAATTTGTTTCAATTATTTGAACCGCAACGTTTGTGGTTCTGACGCAAGTTGTTATTGTATTGATATATCATATAATTATTTGAATATTTGTGAATTATAATTATTGGATGAAAAAAAAAAACAAACAAACGAGAGCAAAAACAAGATCGATAATTATACATATATATTATAAATACATAATTATATATTATAAACTGGTAATTAATAATAATAATAATAATAATAATATAACGTGTAAGTAGTAGATATACATATAATATAATATTACAAATTTAAAAAAAAAACAAATCGTATTAACGAAAGGAAAAATAAAAGAAAAATAAATTATAGACGAAAAAATGGAATATGTTTAATTGATTTGCATGATCAATGTGGTGCAGGACACATTTTATTGTTTCCAATTGTAATATGTAATGAAATGTGCAGAAAATGCTATATATGAATAGTTTGAAATAAAAATGAAGCGTGTTTCGAAATTATTTTCAATGTCAACTTCCTGCTTTGATTTTTTTTTTTTTCTTTTTTTGTCTTTGTTTCACATATATTTAGAATGTAAATTTTAAAACTCAATAAATAATATGATTTTTGGTTTTAATGAAACTGAAATTATTTATTTTATATTTAATTAAAATTAATATTATTTATATTTTATTGTTTTAACTAAAATTGGAAATTATTGACATTAAAAAATATTTTCTATTTTACTTATTACTTCAAATAATATACAAATTTAATAATTTACTTGTTTATAAATCGGGTATTTGAGTATTTTTGAATTTTCTAACTGACCTCTCAGCTGGTCGAATGCAAAGTTCTTTTCCTAAAACTTCTAAATGAACATTATCTAATATAATTTGAAATTTCGATGTCTCCTTTGGAACAGCTGGAATAAAAGGTAATTATTATTATTTTTTAAATAATAATTAATTTTAAAAGTTTTAATTTATTTTACATACTGCGAATAACATCGTCTTCTCCAATCAATCTAAAAGTATTTTTTGTATCCTGTAAAATAATTCCATTGACTCCAATTAAACTGGGACATTTTGATCTGATAACGAAGATTTTTGCTCCATGATAATCAGCTTTCATTATTTTTTGATTCACAGTTTCCCAATTTGATTCCAAAGGATTATTTGGTATTTTATTGAAACTCTTCACTCCAAGCAAATTTCGCATATAATCTAACCAAATTGTATTTAAGGGAATAAGATCTGTAAATAGTAATTCTTTATGTTTTCCTTTGTTTAAATTTAAAAGAATTTTTTTCCTCATTCCCGAGAATGATCGTTTTTTATGCTTCTTTTTAAATTGATCTTTCGATCTATGTTTACTGAAGAAAAATGTCTGCAAATGAAATAAATAAATTCATTAAAATATAACCAATAATAGTGATAAATGAAAAGCAAATTTTTTTACTTACTTTTTTCATTTCATCTGGTATTTTTTTAATGTCCGATGCTGGTAAAGTATCGTTTAGAAATTTTAAAACATATTTTTCTCTTCCTTCATATGTTGTTACTTTATTGATAATTTTTGCTGGTAAAGGCTGGAACATTTCTTTAAAAAAAAAATAAACTTTTAACAAATTGATTCTAATACTTTTCATTTAATAAATCAAATATATTTTAAATAAGAATTTTCACATTATATTTAATACCAAATATAAGTAGACTTACGTTGTTCTTTTTTTTCCATTTTTACAAAAATGTTCGTAAATAACAATTCTTATTTAATATTATAGAATTATTTTTTAGTACCGTTAATTATATTTATAAATATCGATAAACACAATATAAATAAAAATTTCTATTTTTGTTTGTGAAATTTTGACACATGAGGTTATGTTGCCACATGTTAAGTATATAATCTGAAGTTAGCTTTATTGGAAAGGATCCATAATTGACAATTGGTTGAAATGAGCGGAAATTTTTGAAATGTTCCTTGTGATTGGTCTGTTTAAATTAGTGCGCTTTTGTCCGACAAATCAGATAACTTTTGTCCAGTGTGGTGAGCATGCGCAGTTGACTTTCTTACGATCGCTCACCTCAGTGGCGTAGGCGTGTGTGACTCGTCAGTAAGGTTGGATACTCCAAGCAGTGCGGATGTATGTTTATTAATAAATAGACAGTAGTGCGATAAACTGTTCGTAATGATTATATTTGCGTGAAACATTGCGAATTATCGCCGAAATAGTTACTAGAAAATGGCAGGTGATATTTGGTGTTATTCTTCATCTACGACAAGGTGCTTTTACAGTGATTCGGTGCAGTGGAAATCGGTGCTTGTTTGGGTATTATTGGTGATCACGACTCTTCCCGCTGTTCTGTCACAGAATCAAGGTAAGCTTGTTTATATATTAATAATTATTTATTAACTTATTAGTTTTTAATATTTACGTAGGATGTACATAACGGAGTTCGATTTTTTTTTTTTGAACAATTGCTGAAATTTTGATTTTTTTAATACCAAGAATGTAGTTAAGTTTTGATTGTTGTGAAATTGATTTAAAACTATAATAGCAATTTATCAGTTCAAGTGTTTTTGTTCAATAAGATTGAAGTGAATTTGTAAGGTTAGGAAATTGACTGCTTTGTTTTGTAATCAGCGAAAGTTGGTTATGAAATTGCAGGCGGATTTTTAAATCTAATTTGATAAATAATTGAAAAAAGGTGACAAACAGGTTTTGATGATTAATTGATTAAAAAAAAACAATAAAATACGGAATCTTTTGGGGATTAAAAGTAATTTTAACTTTCTTTAAGTTTTCTACAGTATCTTGATTTACTGAGTAGCGGGATAAATGGACTCAATCAAGCACCTTGAGTTATCTTATAAAGCAATCGAAGTGCCTCCGGGACCTCCTGCTTCTTTTTTTTAATTTTTTTTTCGATTCATTCTCACATGCGTTGGAACGCGACAAAAAAAAGTAGAACTTAAGCCGCATTTGTGTATTATATAGTTAAAATTATTATTATAACGTCAGACGAAGAATAATGGTTTTTTGTTCACAAAAGCGAGAGAGTAGTTATAATGGAATCCAAGCCCTTTGTTGAAGGATTTAGAGGGAGGGGTGATCCCTTATGTCAAAAATGAACCGAATGAAAATTTATAGAAACATACATTACGTTTAAATGTATTTTTTTTTGCATTTTATTGCTCTTGGACTCGTAACAATTACGTTCAAATAGTTTAACTTTTTCTTATGAATCATAATGACTCAACAAGGCTTGAATGTGAAAGGCATATTATAAGTCGACTGAAACTTGTCTTAATTTTTTTTTTTTACTCTTTAAATTATAATTATTGTTACTTACAAAATTAAATGAATCCATATTTGGTTAAAGTGAAATTAAATTGAAAGGGGGGGAAAAAAATGATGTTCAATTAAAATTTATTTTAATCTGAGTCGAGTGAAACTTTCCGCGAGATGTAGAATTGATATTCCCCATAGATAAGAGGAGAGAATTTAATTTTAATTGTTAAACGCAAGTGAGATTAATTGTTAAACTTGAGAGATATTTTTTTTTTACAAATAGAGTTGATGTTTCGAGAAAAAATTATTTAATTTCCAATTAAATATTAATTAATTCACTATATATATATGAATATAAAAAATCATGTTTTTCTTTTAATTTTAATTATACAAATGCGACTTTCGTTCTATTTCTTTATTTTGGTTTTATATAGAAAATTAGTAAACTAATCCGCTTTTTTGGAATTTTTTTTTTTATACACATATAATTTTGAGTTCAAGAGACGAAAACAATATATTCTAGTCTAAATTTATAATATTACTTGGCAGTCCAGACATAATTTCCGGTCTAAGTAAAGCCGAAAGTGTCACGGTCTTGAGGCTGTTCAAAATTTCCAACCGCGTACGTTTGTATACAGGATATATTCGACTATCTTCTTCAGAAATCAAAAGAAAGAATCGGAAGTTGTCTATATGTACTAGAAATAAATACAATTTTAATTTATTTGAAAGAATTATTAATTTTAAATTAAAAATTAATTTTTTATTAAATTAACAATTTAATTAAAAATTAATTTTTTATTATATTAACAATTGATTAAATTGTTTTAATTAGGATTGTAAAGGATTGTTTTTTTTTTTTTTGAATTTTATTATTTCTATTTAGATGAATTTTTTTTAAAAAGGAAATAGAATATATTTTTGTTTGTTCGAGTTATTTTTTTATTATTTTGTATTGAAAATCTAGTGTAATTTAAATGTAATCGTTATGAATGTTAATTAAGGTCAACGGATAGCCTTTTCAGAGTAAGAAAATAATCGAGCAACTATGTATAACTGTAAAGTCTTTCGAGAGACGTTTGTTAACGGGTTTCGCTGTTATATAGTTGGTACGAACACAGCTGCTAGAATCATGGAGATTTCTGAATGATTGCACGGTCTAATAAATTATGAAATACCTTATGAGTTTATCGATATAACAGAAAAAAGTACCAGAATTTTTTTTTCGTTTTCAATTTCAAAAAAAATTTAATAAGTCATGGGATGAGCATTAAGCTTTTACAAATAGAAAATTCATCTAGGGGGAAAAACCTGTTTTTCCACTTCTAATGTATTCCACAAATATTTCCTATACAATTGTGTATTTTTTTTTCTCATTTTTTTTTTCTAATAAGTCAAGGGTTAATAAAATTTTTGAAAATTAGCACTAAGTTTTCATTGTCATTTGTATTTTGATAATTATTTAAAAAAAAAATGGAAATAGTTTTTGAATCGTTATAGGGTTTATGATCTTCAAAAAAAAAAAAAAAAATTAAGAGTTTAATTAAAAAAAAGAAATTCAATGTTAGATGAGAAGCAAGCGTCTTTCTTGAGAATAAATTATTGCACTTTATGAGCATGAAATTGAACCTAATGACCTCTTGGTAGCGACAGAAAAAAAAAAGAGGGAGCAAAGGTTCTCTCTCTTTCAAGTATATGTAGTTACGTGCTCCTTACAGAGTTACCTTGTAATGCGTTTACAATTTCCCAAAGAAAAGTCTCTTTGATGTTAATTTCGGTGAACAGAGCAAAAATTTTCTCATCACAGTTTATTATTATTTCCATTATTTTCTTTATTCTTCTTTTAAAATGAGTTTTTTTTTTCTTTTCGAATTTCAAAAATATAATAAATTATAATTTATTAATTAAGAAAAAAAAAAGTTTTGTTGTTTTAAAAAAGAATTTCACTATTTCTTATAGAGCAGAAAAATAATTATTTTTATAATTATAATGTCTTGTGATAATTTTTTGTTTATTTTATTAAAAGTACAAAATTATTTTTTAATGATTTTTTTATAATTGCGGTGATTCAGTGTGGAAAGATTTAATGATTATTTGCGTATATGAATATATTTGTGTGGTTTAAATCTAAACTATTTGAAAACAATGTAAAATAAGTATTTAACACAAATGAATAAATTATTGTGATCATATTAAGTAACGCGACTGCGCGTGCAATATATATATAATACGGACGCTCTGCGGATCATTAATTTCACTAATTGCGAGAGGACTTGCCCATATATATATATACACTAAAGTCTATTTGACGTACCAGAGAAACGTGTACACAATGAGACCCTGTAATATCCTTTACAAACACCAAATTTGGATTTGGTTAAGTGCTGAACAAAATATTTAAATTCACATTATCAGACATAATAAAAATATAAATTTGCTTATCTTTAGTACAGAGCAAAAATATTATTATTATTAATTAAAAAAAAAATTTAATAATGTAATTTGAAAATAAGCACGCGTATTGATTGTCAAACAAAGAAAAAAAAATGATTTGTAAAAATAACATAGAAAAAAGAAAACGAGATTTTTTTTTTAATTAATCAAAATTTGATTCAACACGTTTAATGATAGAATTGAAATTTAATAAATCGTGAATATATTTTTTTTTAATCATTTATATTTTATACTTGAAAAAAAAATCAATGACTCGACAAATGTAAAGGGACCTCACACTGAGAAAAAATGAAAACAATCTATTTTTCCTTTAAGTGCGATCATTAGTGAATTTATTCATCTTTAAACGTCTGATGCAAGTGATAAGTCGGGATTCTTCTATTCTTTTGAAAGGAAAAAAAAATGCCTTTCTAATAGTCCTGCGGACTTTTTCTATAGATAAATTTTGACAAACATTCCATCGATTTTATCGAGTGTTTTTTATTTTCTTTTTTTAAAAAAAAGGTAAAGAAACCAGTAACTTAACAGCTACCTTTTTTTTCTTCTCTATACCTGTTCGTCCATTTCTATTTTCACACTAAAATTTTACAAGTATTTTATTTTCTAAAAATTTTTGATTGTTTATTAATAAGCCAAAAAAAAATTAAATTAGAAAAAAAACTGTTGGTAAATAATTTTTTTTCTTGTTTTATTTCAATCAATTTATTTAAATCATTTATTCTCTAGTTACAATATTTGTATTGTGGTTTTGACGAGCTTTGCGCACGATTATCGCCCTCTGAATGAATAATATTACAATACATGTGGTTTTCTAACCCAAACACTTTGCTAGACTATAACAATAAATATTTTACATATGAGGGAGTATTTAATAGTGGCATTTAGCGAAGTGGAATTTAATCCCCAAAAGGAATTTAACAAGATAATTAATAATAGCGAGAAAATTAATGGGAAAATTTAGTCGTATAAACGGATTTAAAGGTATAGGGTAATATAAATTTTCCAATTGAAAAGAAAAAATTAATTATTATTTTACTGAAAATTAAAATACGAAAAATAATATAAAAGTTACTCGAGTGGTCCATAGGTCGCAGCTTCTGAAAATTCTTAGAATTCGGTTTTCAATTGAAAAGAAGGAAATATGTAATTATTATTTTACTGAAAATTAGAATACGAAAAATAATATAAAAGTTACTCGAGTGGTCCATAAGTCGCAGCTTCTGAAAATTCTTGGAATTCGGTTTTCGATTGTTGTCTGGTCGAGTGTCCTTTGGCTATATATGCTGACAATGGAGGAAAAAAAAAGAGACTCGAGCCCGCTGGAGCATAGTTCCGGGGGCACACGATCTGCAATGATTTTCGACCTCGTGCGGGCAACAATCGTTTTTTTGAAAGAATTATTACCATTATGCTGGGGGTCTTTTATATATCGGTTTATTATATACATTGAAGGGAAAGCTGTCTAATGTTTACTTATCTGAGCGAAATCCAAAGCATCTGGAAAGTTTATGTAACTAGAAATAGTGTCCAGTTGGTCAAAAATTTATCGCTTTCTTCACAAATGCTCTGATTTCTTTGTTAAACAAAAATAATAAATTCGAATTATAATTTTTATTTTTCCATTTGAATTAT